GACTCTCAACCACCGCACCACCAGGGAAGCCCTACCATATTTTCTTTATCCATTCATCTGTCAGTGGACATTTGGGTTGCTTCCACCTCTTGACTATTGTGAATAATGCTGCAATAAACACAGGTGTACAAATATCTTTTCGGGATCCTGGCAGGATTTATTTAAATGACTAAATAGTGTTTATCTATTATATGTTCTATTTCATAAAATCTAATATAAAATTTTTATCATGCTAGCTATTTTTCCACACCTAAGCCATCCCTTTTCAAAACACTAATTCTTTTTTAATCTTCAGTTCCCTGATGACCCTACTGTGACCAGGTTTGAATGTAAGCTTTTCTTAGTTCTTCCTTTATATGAGCTTTTTCCTGTTCATTCTGAACTTTCTGCTTTTTGTTTTGGTGTTCTCAGCTTATTCCCATACATGCTCTTCTGCTCACCCTTCCCCTTCCTTGAACTCTGTTGATATCTTAGCTTTTTATTTATGCAAAAGATAGAAGTAGAAAAGAAGAAATAAACGGATATGCTTGTTTGGTGCCATCCATTTATGATATTACCGGCCTCTCTTATCTAGATCCCAACCCTTGTTAAATTCAGCTCACCACCCACTCCAGGCCTGAACCTCACCAGCTAAAATGAGCACTGCTGGGTACAAACACAGAAGAGTGCTGATTGGTCTTGCTTCAAACTCATGACCACAAACCTCGAGTGGGCCCCTATGCTGCCAACAGTCCTGCTATATTTCCTTAGTCTGGTGGTTCTCAAAGTATGGCTCCTAGACCAGTAGCATCAACATCACTCAGGACAAGACAAACAAACAAAAAAACCATCACTCAGGACCTTGTTAGAGATGCACATCCTTAAGCTCATCCCAGACCTTATCAGTCAGAAACCCTGGGGATGTAGGCCAGCAGATCAGTGTGATTATGATACTAAAGTTTGCCAACCACTGTCTTAGTTCGTTTTCATGTTCTTTGAAAACCCTTTTCACACCTTCACTCTTCTGCCAACAACCCCCTCTCCTTCCTCACTCCCACCTGCTGATCACTTTTTATTTCAAGTAAATGGAAAATAGGAGTGCTCAGAAGAGAACTTCCTCATCTTCTTACATCCACATCTGCCTACATCTACAGGTGCCCCTGTATCCTGCCTTCTTCGCTGTCACTAGGGCCAACCCCCTTCCCACTTGCATATTATATCCCATCCCCTTTCTCTTCTGGGGTTGTTTTTTCCTTTCTACAGGATCTTTCCCATCAGCGCGCGAATGTTTCTCTTTAAAAAAACAAAACAAAAAAACAAACCTCCCTGAAGATGTCTAGGTAATGCTATGGAGTCATCTAATGCACGTGTTGTTATGTGAAAATTTTGAGTATTTGTATGTATTGTCTCATTTTCAAAACAAAACCAAACAATGGAAGGATAAACCAAAAACTAATGCCAATGAGGTGAGAGAAATTGGGCACGAGGAGAGGGGACAAAAGCTAGGCCTCTCTGAAAGGTATTTGTTTATGGTTTTGCCTTTGGAACTTTGTGTACATGTTTTGTATAATTAAAACACCAAATTAAGTCAAAATCTAATTAAAACAAATTGGCCTCACTATGTAACAAATTGAAAGTATAACCACAAGGAGAATTCTTTTAAGTGACTTTAAAATAGGGTGGGTTGTTTTGTTTTGTTTTCATTTTACATAATTTTAGATTTACAGAAAAGTTATTGTACAAGAAAAGTACAAGGAGTTTCAGACACCTTTCGCTCAGATTCCCCATATGTTAACATTTTACCTTTTGTAGTTAGTAAGTATCCTGTGGGGAGCTACTCTGAGATTATACAAACATCCTGTCACTCTTCAAGCTTTCACCCACTAGTTAGAACCCTTTGCTGGTTCTTATCTGACTCAGTTATTACGATGATAACTGCCAAATGGTGATTTTCTAATGCCAGAATTTATTCTACATTTATGAATTGATTTTCTACTTAAAGGAAAGCTTTTCCTTCTCCCCTTTCATTTACTTATTTATTTACATCAGCATAGACTCATGAATTCTTACTTTGTTGAATAGTAAAACAGTATTTTGATACATCTGACAAAAAGAATCACGAAGAAATCCTGAACAGCATACAGTGGTTTTGTTGTTACTGGTAATGGAAATGTTGTTATTTTGAAACTTTTATACACACACATTAAAGGAAAAAGCAAATGAATGATTATGTTAATGTCATTAGGTACCAACGTTATCTGACAAAATCGAAGAAGTAAAATTAAAAACTATAATTGAGTAGGAAGAAGCATCAGTATGAATTGGTGATTTATGTTTTTCCTTCTAAAAAATAAGTAATTTTTAGCTATGTCCGCTTGAAGAGTCGAAGCGGCGATAACCTAATAGCAGTACTATACCTAATATCCATGTTGTGGATTTAAGTACCTTTACCCACTAAACAGAAATGGGGCTGTTTGGAGAAATGGCCAGCTCCAATTCTGGGGCAAGAAATGAACAAGACAAGCCTTGAACACCTTGTGCCTGAAAGCAAGGAAGTTATCAGACTCCTAGAGTCTTACAGGAGGACATAAAAGCTGACTTAAGTAGGGGCTCTCACTGGCCAAAAACAGGACAATTCGAGCATGAAAATGAATAATGACTGCAATTGATTAAAACACATCAAAAATATTAAAAATCTATAAATCATTATAGACAACCGCAGAAGCCTCCTACCTGGTCTCCTTTCTTCCACACTTGTGCCATTGCAATCTCTTCTCCACGCAGCAGCTGAAGTGATCCTTTCAAAACCTAAAACTCATCTTAATGCTCTCCTGCTCAAAACTTTCCAGTGGTTTTCTATCTTGCTCAGCCTAAAACCCAGAGTTCTGGCCTTGACTTCAAAACCCTAGACCACAGGGTCTTTGATCATCTGAATCGCATTTTCCACCACTCTTCCCTTTGTTCATTCCTTTCCCAACACACTGGCTTCCTTACTTTTCTCCAAACTTACCAACCCCCTTCGTGCCTCTGGGCCTTTGTACTTACTATCCTCCACACCAAGATCTTGCTTCCATGTGGTCTGCTCTGCGACTTCATTCTGGTCTGTGTTCACATATTACCCTATTAGAGAGGCCTTCTCTGACACCCCTTCTCTTATTAAATAGCAACTCCCTAGTCTTCAAACCTGTCACACCTACTTCCCTACCAGCCTAATTTTACTTCGTAGCACTTAACACTACCTAGTCTTGTATTCATTTACGTATGTTGGTTTCTTTGTTTATTCTCTATCTTAAATTCCAATTTTATGACTTATCTCACTTAAGGGTTTGTTGAGAGTGACTGAATCCATGTGCTGCTGGATACATAGATCTCAGTGTAACATTAACTTAAGCATAAATATAGTCAACAAACTATATAAAGTATATACTCTGGGATTCTGATTTAAGCTTCTACTACTCCTTCCTAAGAAGGTGATGAAGACACTGGCCAGGAAACCCTGTCTGGGTCTAGTTTGTGTTTTCTTCTTCTGCATCATGGCCATCCTTTTCTAGGCTGGTTCATTTGCTGTGCCCCACACTACAATCATGCCAGGGCTATTGCTTTTTCCTTCAGGTCTGTTGTCATTGATCTCTATTTGAACCAGCTGAAAGTTCTCATTGAGGGAGAGCACTCTTTATCAGTTGGTTTCTATAGAGGTTTGCTTGTTCTTCCATAGACCCTTCTGACTACTTTGTGTCTTCCTGCAGTTTGCTCACCATTCCTGTACACTTGCTTTTTCTCTCGTCTCTTTCTCTAACTCATACACAGTCATACATACATTTATGTTCAAGGGGTCATCTTTCTTCGTGCTAGACTCTATCGTAAAGGTCTTTAAACAGCCTTGGACCAAAAGTAACTTCTAAAGTGGAACCCTGATGCTTTCATTGGGCAGAGTAAGGATCCCTCCCACTTTTGCGTATCCATCATCAAACATCTCTCCGGGTGTACCAGCTCAGAGTTTTATTGCACAGGTCTCTTCATGCCCACTCTCATGTAGGCTAAACCTGAACTAAAACTGTGTCATTTTATGTATGAGCAAGTATAGGACAGAATAAAAAATACTTTTATCTTCCAAGCCTGAAGAGGCTTGCCTTTTTCACTAACTGGTATTTTAAGAACAGGTCATAGCATATGTAATGTTAGTCATGTTGGGGAGCATAGTATTTGAGCAGAGACCAAAGTTCCCTACAATTAAATGCTTTCCTGACACCAGCCCCAACAAGGTCCCAGAAAGAGGCAGATGCAGAGGACAAGCTCCTCCAAAGAAACTCTCATTGTGACCACAAAGCATATGATTCTTAGCCCTGGTCAAGCAGCTACTCCTCGGGGAGTTTGTCTTTACCCTGGACTAGAGGCCAGCCAAGTAGTCTCCTTTCCCCCTTCTCCTTTCTCACCTCCCATTCCCACAGAGAGGAAGGGCAGGTCCAGAGAAAAGACCCCAGGAAGAGCATTGAATTCCCCAGGAGCCAGGCTCAGTTAAAGTCATTAAATCTGACTCTTCTTACTTGGAGGTGGAATGAATAAAGAAAAGAAATAAGATGGTGGGAGAGTGGACAAAGAAAGGGCCGTCAACATCCCCTAAGGGCCAAGATACAGTGGCTCTGTAGGTCAAGTTAAAGGTTACAAGAAACACAGGCATAAAATATATTTTTCCTGAAATGTAGAGTGTCACTCAAAGGAAGAAAATATTGCATGAAAAGGCAGAAAACACGTCTGTCTTGAACATCCATGCTTCCTAAGTAATTCCTAGCACCACACCCTAGTCTTGGAAACAAATAATTCCTGAAAAATATTGGATAAAACAGGTAAGTCTTTGGAGAAATCAGCCAGAAGTGAGAATAGAGAAATAATTCAAGCATCCAAAGTAATTCCGGTTTTTAAAGTATTACAATATGGTCATGTTATTCGGTTTTGTGTAAATTGAATTGTTCGTCTTCAGTTAATCCTTAACTTTGGTTTGTTTGTTTGTTTTTTCTTTTCAGCCCCACTGTGTTCTCCTTGCCTCAAAGGAAAACTCGGCACCTGTTAAACTTGGGGGCTTTGGGGTAGCTATTCAATTAGGGGAGTCTGGACTTGTAGCTGGAGGTAAGAACACTATTTTTAAAATTTCCTTCAAAACCTCGTCACTTTCAGGCTGGTATAAAACTTTCAGACTAAATATTAGTCCATCCTCAGTGTTTCATACCGCATTCTACCTCACCCTAACCCACCCACAAAAGTGCCATAATGTAGTTTTGAATTTAATAATTCTGTAGTCAGAATTTTAGTCCCTTAAGATAATAGACTCTGTCTTTTTACTCTTTGTATCCCCAACACTTAACAGGGAAGAGACCCAACATACAAAGATTAAAACAGTATTGGAAGAAGATGATATTTGAGGCAAAGTGACTTTTAAAGTTGAACTGGCCAAACGAAGTCAAATCTAAAATGTGTGGATTAACTACTTTCAGGTTACATCTATGGCTAATTTTTAATTTCACACTGTTTTCCTCTTTCCACTTGTGAAAGAGTCCCACTCCAGCCATCAATCTGTGTATTTGGGAAGAGCAAGCAGATGTGAGTACAGACTGATTTTATTATTAGCCAAAACAAACATAATTAGAAAATTCCCATGCCAGAAAAAAAAGAAGAAAAGCTCAGATGGAAACTTTCTTCACCAGTGTGCAGAGGTGGATGCTGATTACAGATTCAAGTATTTGGTTTTATTTATTCCTTGCAGTAGATTCCAGCTCAGAATGCTGCCCTGTTTTTAGTTTTGTTCTTTAGTTTTGCAAATTACTTAGTTCTCCCTTCTGCAGACTACCAATCTTCTAGTCATTGCTTTATATTTTCCATCTCGAAGTACTGCCAGCCTTCACAAAGAGGAACAATATCAACAGTATTAAATTAAAATACCTAACAAATGATAAATATCAAAATAATAATCTTTTACACAGGATATTTCATTTAATTCACTGTTACTAAAACATTGAAGCAGTATTAACATAGACCATCTTCTGAAAAATGAGCCATGAGTCATAGTTGTATTGTTTAAATCATTATTTTACCACATTGCCCTCTAAAATTAAATTGTGTTTAGATTTTCTTCCAGGTTTTTTTTTTTTTTTTTTGCGGTACGCGGGCCTCTCACTGTTGTGGAGCACAGGCTCCGGACGCGCAGGCTCAGCGGCCATGGCTCACGGGCCCAGCCGCTCCGCGGCATGTGGGATCCTCCCGGACCAGGGCACGAACCCGTGTCCCCTGCATCGGCAGGCGGACTCTCAACCACTCCACCACCAGGGAAGCCCTCTAGTTTTGCATTTTCTTCTAATCATTTCCAAGAATCTGAGAAACTGCAAGTTAAGTATAGTTTTGAAAACTGATTTTTCTTCCTTCTAATTCTAATGAACTAGTGAATTCACAACTAATGAAAAGTTTTGAAATTTTTCATCTGTGATTAGAGGACTGACCATAGGGTCAGGTAACAAAGAACAGTTTAATCACAGAATCATTGAATCTCAGAATTCGAAGGGGCCTTAACTTCTCCAGTCTTGTAACTAATGATTGAATTCTCTCATAAAATTCCCAGCAAAGGGCTGAGCTCTAGTTTAATTCCTCACATGGCAAAGAATTCACTGTGTCCCAGGACAGTTCATTCCATTTTTGGAAAGCTCCTAAGTATTGAAACGTTCATCCTTGCGTTGAATGGAAGTCTGTCTTCCTGTAACTTCCACCCAGTGGTCCTAATTCTGACTTTTGGAGCCACAGTAAACAATTTTAATCCTTCCATATGATAGTCATTCAGATGCTTGAAAACAGCTATAGTGTTCCCCTAAGTCCTATCCAAGTTAATTTGCCTAGGTTAATTTAGCCATTCCTCACATAAAGTGGTTCAGAGTCTCCTGACTGTGCACCAAGTACAGAGCCAAAACTGAGCACAAATACAGGTACTTCCAAGCACACAGAAGCTTGAGGTTATCACTTCTTTTGCCGTGGATCTACATTTCTGTCAGGCTCCCCAAATTGCATGAGCTTTTTGGACAACGCTGTAACACTGCTGGCTCATATTAATCGTGCAATCAACTACAAATCTTAAATTGTTGTTTTTAAACAAACGTTGCTGTTGAACTAACTCTCTCAAATCCGGTATTTGTACAACTCACCCCCATGTTAAGACTACACAAGTAAATAACACATAATTTCTGACGATTACATCCTCACGGTTGATGGGATGATATAAAATAAAACGAATTCCTTTTATATGCTATATACTATATGCTATATATGCTATATAATATATGCTATATTCCTTTTATATGCTATATATATTATAGCGTCTTTGTTTCTCTTGGTCTGGATCTTCATCCTGTTAGTATTTAAAATGGTATGGGCTTCATATTTTACTGTGCATCTCAACTGAAGGGGAAAAACGGATTCATTCGATTTACCCAGACATTTTTTACATGTTAATCTATTTTCCTAAAGTCCATGAATCTTTCCCCTAAATTGTATATTTTTAAAGCTGATTTTTAACCCACAGTGTGTCAGTTATGCAAAATTTATTTTTCTCAATTCTTCTAGAATTATAATGCTTTGTGATGGTCAAAATATTGTCATTTCTTAAACATACCTTTCCTTGCAGTCTTGAAATAACTACTTCAAGCGTTGCAATGTCTTTTAAAATACAGTCTACAGATGTAGATAAGGGATAAATGATTTCTCTTATAAAAAGCTTTCATGTTGTTTAAGGTATCAGTACTTTTAAAAATTTTACTATTTATCAGCTCATTTGCTAATATTTAACAGAAAACTATTTTCCTGTCAGATTAGAATCTTTGATCACTCAGTCCTCCAAACAGAAAGGAATTCTCTCCTTTATATGTTCCATATAGTAAAAACCATTTACGTATATTTACACTTCCCCTATCTGAAACTCAACTGTTTGGAAAACTCACTTATCCAGAATATATCTAGGAACCTAGGAAATAATTATAATAGCAGCAAGGCATTTCCTGCCCTTAATACCTGTTCATGGTTCTCTCAAGTGAGCATCTAAAGACACACTCTGAGGCTGACGTGCTTCCATTTTTCAGAAACTTTTGTGGATTCATGTTCCTTCATACCTTGCACCTGCTCTTCCCTCTGGTTAGAACGCCTTTTGTCATTTTATGTGTCTAGTTAACTAAGTATTCTTGAAGACTGAGCTAACAATCATCTCTTAAAAGCAGGCTGATCTTCACCATCCCAAGTGAGGTAACCCTATTCCTTCTCTCCCATATTACCATAGCTATCTGGGTTACATACCTCCATGTAGCATTTGATGCGGGGATTTGTAATTATATCAAAGACTGAGGTTTGTGAGGGCAAGTGGGGGGACCATGGCTTATCTCTTGTATGCCCACAGTGGTCCTAGATTGTGTCTGGGACCTAGCAGGCACTTAGGAAATTTTTACTAAATGAAAGAATCTGGTTTCTAATGAGATTACAGTTTATAGCAGATTTTATGCAAAAATTAGGAGAAGACAAGGCTAGAGTAAGCATAGTGAAAGAAAAGAAATGAAAGCCTGACAGAAAGAAATACATTGAGCAGACACCAAAAGTTGGAAAGCACAGCAGCCTTTTGGTACTGAAGAAATGAACCCTTGCATACCTCTGAAGTTCCCAAGGGCGATTTTGGTTCCATACCAGAGTTCTTTCATTGGTATCCACAATGATAATTCTGAGTCATCAAGAAGAGGTTAAATTATGTACAGCATCTTGTGTAAGAGAAGTCAGGAAATTGTACAAAGAGAGCCATCCAAAATTATTAAAGTAAAAAGGTTTTGGTGCGTAAAGATCCAGGTCCTAAAGTATTGAATGCGTACCTATTCAGAACAGCTGTCCCCACCCTGAGGTTCTAGGTAATAAGCTTTTATTATATTATCAAAAAAGGTAACATTTAAATATTTAAATGTACATCGGAAGTGTCTCATATACAGTGACATTTAATTTGGCTTGGTAATTGGCTTCCCGTTCTTAGAATTCTGTGGTCAAAGTCATAAAAATCAAGTGACCACAAAGAAGGAAAAGTCAAGTGATCACATACCAGGAAATTGAAGAGGTTGGTGTATGTTAAAGGTTGACTCCAGTCCTTTCACACCTCCCGATCTTCATGCAATAAAAAAATCATTCCTGTGTATTCTTTCTACCATGGTCTTTCCCCTTTCATCTATGAGCAGATTCTTGAACCAAAAGACATGTATATTCCTCAAGGATGAACCCTAATTCTCCAGAACCAGGGTAGTCTTCAATATGGCTAAATGGAAAGAACCTCCCTTGGATGTCTGGGGCTGGCTGTGGTGGCTCTGACTAGTCCCAGATTGAGGCCTACATTTTGAGATGCTTGGTCCTGCCTTGTAAGGGAAATAGTAGGAGTCAAGTTGAGTTTCAAAGCAGTATCCCAACCATCAGCAGGTACCTGGCTGGTGCCCTGGTACCAGTACTCTGATCTCTTACCCTGCTTTTCCCTACTCTTACCAGCTCCTGTCCATCAGACCAAGGCAAATTCTCCAAGGGCACTGCCCTATCCAGGCTATTAATGAAGTAGAAGGCTTAGTTCTCATCATTTCAACTTCTTTTTGTTACTTGAGGAAACCAAATGGGGCAATATGGAAATAAAAATCTTTCCTTCTGACCAGTAGAGTTTTCACTGATCTACTATACATTTTAAATAAAAATATTTTCACTCCCTGAACCCTGAACTTAATCTCTTCTATTATGGGGGAAGGAGAGGAACCATTATGATCTGCAGCAAAGGAATATTCCCAGGACACAAGCTAAGAGCTGCTTTATCCTTCTCATCCCAACCAGGTTTGACAATCACCAACAAGACTTTTATGATATATTCTCTCTAGCTGGATTAGAAGATCTCTGAGGTCTTTTTTTAAACTCTGATCACAGTTCTGAGCTCTACATAAAGTTTTGTGCAAGCTTCAAAATAAAAATTATCTTGGACTCGTGATGATGAGGGTGGGGCTGTAGAGGGAAAGGGAGGAGAGGAGGGGCCTGCATAGAGCTAGAAGAGCTGCCAAGTCTGGTGGGCAGTTCCCCTCCCACAATAATTTCCCTACAGGGTACAAGCCTTTCGTTCTCCAGTAGAAGAAAAGACTTCTTTTGGGATGCTGAGTTAAAGATGGTTACTGGTGTAGAAACAACTGCTTTCAGATTCCTTCCTGAAACCTAACTTTGATAGGAAAAAAAGAAAAAAGCGTTTCAAAGAAGATAGAAGTCAAAGAAGATTGAATGGGAGGAGCTTCATGATTTTACTTTGGTTTATGTCATATATTTGCTCTCATTCTGTTCAAATGTTAACATTTGGAGGAAGCTAAAAAATCTTATTATAACAAAATATTACTAACCATTGGTAATTGCTGCAATTAATTCCTAAAATCAACGGAACAGGATTTCAGATTCATATTCCAAATAAAAGTTCTAAGCATTAGGTTTAATTTGAGAATTTCTATTTGACAGTCAAAAGTAATCTTTTCCTCTACAGATATTTTCTCACTTGCCCCCCCTCTCCCTGCCCCTGCCTCTGCTCTGTATTTTTAGTAATTTTCAAACTTGTGAAAATTAGAAAATTTAAACAACTTCTTCATGAAGCAACAAATAGGTAAATACTTACCATGCATCCTATGGAATTCAATAGGAAGTAACAGTGTTAGAAGACAAAGTACCTCTCCTGGGCTCAATACTTTCAAGACGTGATTAGATAAAAAATTTTTTCTTTCTGCCTTTTTTCCTTGATTTTATAGAGGAGGGGAGAGGTGGTAAGAGAATATTTGCATTGTTAACCTTGTCATTCACACTGTTATTGTTCTCGTATTTTCAGTTTTCAAATGGGAAACAAGCCCATTTTATGTAAACATTTTTCCTCGATGTTGTCATTTTAAATGTAGGGCGAGTTGGAACACCTCATTTTATGGCCCCAGAAGTTGTCAAAAGAGAGCCTTACGGAAAACCTGTAGATGTCTGGGGTTGTGGCGTGATCCTTTTTATCCTGCTAAGCGGTTGTTTGCCTTTTTATGGAACCAAGGAAAGATTGTTTGAAGGCATTATTAAAGGAAAATATAAGGTAACATATTGTGAATGTTTTATTTTTCCATTGAGATTAAATTATTCTGAAAAATGTGTTTTGAAGTTGCTGTCTGTCTTTGGATTACTTACTGGTTGTCACATAGTCACCCAGTCAGAGATGCTTGCATCATTGATCCACCAGCCTTGTTAGGCAACAAAGGCCTCAAATAAATTTGACCCTATCGGCCGAACTGTCATCCAGATGACTGGCTTTAAAACAACTGTTGCCTCACCCCTCCCTTCTCATTCCCTCTGTGCTGCCTCTAAAGTCTATCCCATGTATTTGGATTCCAACTCTGTGTTCAGTCCAGAAAACAGGGTCCCCACTCGTCTTTGATACAGTGTAAAAACCAGAGATCAGATGGATGTTCCCCTTTTCCTCCATGTGCTAAATCAACAGTGTAAGAGTCCTGGGCTCTCAGAGTCATAAAGCCACACTAAAATCAAATTTTTTTACCATAAGTACATTCTAGCAAAACTGCCTCTTTAGCTAAGTCAAAGAAATTGGTTAGTGCCCTACTTATTTCAAATAAAATTCTAGCTCAGGGAAAGAATTTGGACTGCTCCTTGGAATTTATTGTGAGCAAATTTGACCTTTTATTTTACCCTGGGTAAGGTGTTTGTGACAAACCTGTGCCCAGACTTTATGGTTTCCATTAGCTGTCTGGTGACCGAACCCACTTATTCAGGCTAAGCTGGAAAATAAACCTCTTTGGCCCTTCTTTGTGTAATTTGAGAAAAGGGCTTTATTCTTATTACTTTTTGCTTGACTTGTAAAGTTAAAATGGAAATTTCATCCAGGTAATTAGTCACTCTTTATCTTAATTTTAGATTTAGTGTCTATTAGCCTTTATTTGATTTTGCTTTATCATACATGTTATTTTATTGCATTTTATGTAGTCAGCCAGCACAGCTGAAAAATTTGCCATTTACCTTCCAGGATAAACTGAAATGCCAGTATCACAATGGCATTTCATAATATAATTTAGAGCCATTTTGGTGTGATTTAAATATTTATATTCATCTTTGGCTACTGTGAATTGGAAACTGCATGTACTATTCACAGACTCCTGATTAGTACATTATTACTTTCATTACCAAGTAATTTAAGAAGTCATTACTGACATTATGAGTGGCTATACCAAAAAGACCTAGCGGGTTCTTAGAAATAAGCTTAAGGTTGGTTTCACTACCCGAGCTCTTGTACTTTATTGCCCTGTACTACCTTGTATGGCTGACGGAGTAGGATGCTCTGTATGGGAAGCACAGAGGAGTATGTGTCTGGATATCAAATCAGGGCAGCTTATTTTGAGGAAGTTCTTTTTCCTCCCATTATAATTAACACATGTACTTTCTGTTCAACAGAATCACTGTTTCATTTTCAGCCATGCCTGGCAACATAAAACGATACACACAGGTTTATATAACACTACACTCCAAAACTGTGAGGCCCCTAAAGTTTTTTTTTTTTTCGATTCCTCAGTTATGTTAGAACTTTATGTGGGACTTGAAACAAATAAAGAAAAAGAGAAAAAAATAAATGAAAGGTAAAGTAGTTTCAGAGTTGTAGCCTTATCCTTTAAGCCATAACTGAAGCTTGTGGAAGTGAGAAGGTGAGAATGGTCTGTACTTTTTTCCCCTTGGGCTTTGTGTACTTATAAAGGCTTATAAAGCTTATAAAGGCATACAGGTTTGTCTTTTATTTTATTTGGATTAAGATATATGCCAAAACTCTGTTAACAGAGAAAGATGTTTTAAGTATAGGTTTTTCTGCTTCTCTTAGAGTCAGTTGACCACTGGGGAATAAAATCAATCCTTTCAAGGTAACTAAAAGTCTCAGGAAACTGCTTGTAAGTAATCATCCCCCTCCAATCCCTTGAAATTGTAAGTGGCTATCAGGAAAGCACGGTTATGGCTTTCTGGTTGAATTTTGCCAAGTGAAATCACAGATACTAGCATATGAAAATAAACACAATAATGCATCAGCATAATAATAATACTAGCAATAATGATAGCTAACTCATACATAGCACTTACTATGTTCCAGGAACTATTCTAAGCACTTTACTTATATTAACTCTTTTCATCCTCACAGCGGCTTATGACGTAGGTACCATATAATAAAATCTCCCACCTGCCTTTTTGAGTTATAAGCATTCGCTAATAATAGAATTCTTCTTTTGTGTTTGTTCAGTTGCTAACTTCCTGGTTTCCAAGGCAATGTGCTTCATTCCAACAGCTTCTGGTATTTGATTTTGTCTATTTTTAAAGCATTGAATAGTTATCTTTGTTTCTTTGTTTAAAAAAAAAAAAACTTGGACTGTTCACATATGTCCAAAAATTTGTTTGAAAATTTCCTATTCTTAGCATTATAGTATAATATAGTCGGATGGTGGCAGCTATACCATAATTTCTGTACCTGGGGGTTTGAAGCTTTGAGGTTAATTCGTATTTACTGTTACTTGGCTAACCTCACCTCTCACTTATATTCATGGCTTTCCTTACAAAAGCCTCAGGTTTTCAGCATCTTAGTTTGAAGTATAGATCCATCTCTACCATCAGTGATGAACCTATTGGGCCTTTAAAAAAAATACTGTGCTGTGATTGTGTCAGCATTTATTTTTACATTTTTTATTACTGAAAATTTCTAACAAACAAAATAGTAGAGATAATAGTATAATGAACCCCCAGCTTTAACACTTATCAACGTACAGCCAGCCTTGTTTTATCTATATTCCACATGCTACTAGATTATTTTGAAGCAGATCTCAAAAATATCATTATATCACCCTGGTCGCCCTTAACAAAATAAATATTAAAATCCTTGATCTCTATGAGTATTTTCAAGAAAATATTGATGACATATTTCAAATGTAGTACATTTAAATTGTCATAGTTTATAAACTACTACTGGTCTTAAATGATTTTAATTTAACTTTTTATTCTTGTCTACTAGCTTACTTGATCTTTTAAGGTCAATATGGGAGAATACTATTTAGCTAAAATATATGCTAACATTTAATTTGAATTAATTTTTTTATAAAGGACAGAAATATATTTCACAAAGTCTCTAAAAGATACAGTGTCATCTTATATCACTTATTTCTGGATAGCCAGTTGGTATCCACACAGCAGGAGTCCTTAGCTGCCTGGCTTTAGTATTCAAATAAGTGAGACTGTTTTATATAGCCCTGTTTTGTTCCCCCTTATGTACTCAACCTCCCAAATTAATTTCAACTAGTCTTCTCTGCCAAAGGAAGAGAAAACCCTGGATTGCGCTTCCTCATAAAAAGGACTGGGGAGTATACTTCTCAACCTCTGTTCACTTCAGAAGGCTTACCACCACTTTCAGATGATTTCTCAACCCCTTTCCTGAGGACAGATCATTCAGACTTTAAAGACTACATCAGCTCCAAGATGGGGAAGAGGAAACAAGGCTATCTAAGCCCCATCTGATCACATACCTCCTTATTTCAAACTCGTCAACTGATCACAATTTCAGTAGGATGACAATATTTCAACAGTCTCATGGTATTCATTTTAATTAAGGAATCTGACAAGAGAAGTGACTATCGTTTGGAATTCTGCCTGTTAGAAAAAGCAAATGGAACATTTTCCACTCCACGTCTACTAGAGCAAAGCCTTACGTTAGCCAGAGTGAAATGTCTGATACTAACCCTTGGCGAGATCATAATGATTCATGTGTACTGTGATGCAAGTTGTGGTTTCATTTGCCTTTAACCTGTTGTGGACTTTATTCTGCATCTTTCTCCCTTAGGAGGTGACAGAGGTCTCTGCCAGTTAAAGCCATGGCATTGCGTAAAGCTCCTGGCACCAGGCAGCTCCCATGAGCTCACCGAATCAGTCAGTTTCCTCATATTAAATAGGGAGTGAGACCCTGCTCCATCTCTACCCTCCTGTCCCCACTTACCTTCCCAACTCCAAGCCCTAAGCATTGCTTTCCATTTTTTCCTGGTTCCTGGTCTCAGACATACCCCTTTTCCCAGGAGCCTTCCAACTCTTTTCCTCATAGATCCACAGCCTTCCTCACAAGTTGTGTGTCTTAGGAACAACTCATAATTTTTTTGTTTGACTTTAGTTAATTTACCTTGTGGCTTAGTTGTCTCATCTCTAAAAGAGAAAGAAAAGTAACTTCTTTAAGAACAGTATACAAGTGAATTGGGTTTTTTGTAGGGCCTTTAGTAATGGTATATTTTTTTCTAAATACTGAAAATGACATACAGTGACCAAAGTCTCCTATTAATAAAAGCTACTTTGCGTAGCTTCACAATTACTGCCAATTCCAAGTTTTAAAAGCAAAATATTAAAAATATTTCTTCAAATTTTTAAATTTTATTTTAGTCCTTTCTGGATCAAAGTATTCTAACCTTTTTAGAGTCTACATTCTAGACTCTTTATTTTAGCTGAGGTAGAACCTGGAATCATGAATGTTCTATTCTTCAATTATTAAAAATATTATTACATATATAACAAGAAGAACATGTATAACAAATATTTACTCCTGCAAATTCTCATGTATTGAACAACAACAGAAAAAGAATTGCATCTGTCCTCTTCTTCCTTAGAAAGCAAGCCTTTAGAATCAGATTTCTCCACCCTGCTCCAAGAATTTTATTCATGTTGAAACAGCATAGGAATATTAAATAACAGAGAATGTTAACTTCTCACTGGACATAACTCTGTAATTTTCCTTTTTCCTCCTCTTCAGATGAATCCAAGGCAGTGGAGCCATATCTCTGAAAGTGCCAAAGACTTAGTACGCCGCATGCTGATGCTGGATCCTGCTGAAAGGATCACTGTTTATGAAGCACTGAATCACCCATGGCTTAAGGTACATGAGCTCATAGGTGGCCATCTACACTTTGTTTAAACAGTTCCAGTGACAGGAATGCATTGCTCTGTAAGGTGCCCCTTTCCACCCTTTTTTTTTCCTGAGCATTTTTTCGTTACAGTTTTGTTCGTCTTATTTGCTGTTTCTGTACATCTCTGTAAACATCTAAGAGGATGTACCATTCGAGTGACATTCAGCTCTCATCACAAGAGGGTACAAAAGCGGATTAAGGCAGAATCCATCAGGGAGGAAGGCCTATTTGTTCTCTACCAACACGTGTTCCAAAGATGTGCAACATGAACAACGGAAATAGCACTCAACTGTGTGATAATTAAAAAGTGATTATCATTATTTTGGGTGTGAATGTGTACTTCATAGCATTATTTTTCTTTCAGTAGATACTAGATACGGGTTTATCGTCTTAGGAAAAAGGCAGATTTTAAAAGTTCTTTTTATATCCCATCCTGCTGATGAAGTATTAAAGGTATAACTTGGGACTTCAATGAGACAGCACTATTTGATGAAGACATTACACTGCTCAGCAGTTCCAGGAAATTCTCACTTTACATGTGAGAAAACTAAGCCTCAGAGAGGTTAAGAATCTTGCCCCAAGTCACAAAAGTTGTCAGTGCTGGAGCCAGGATTTTAATTCAGCCTGCCACACCCCCTTCCTTTGTACTCAAGATCCTATCCAGTTCACTTAAGGTCACTGCTCTCACATGTGTCCGCTTACCGGCTTCATCAACTTCCTATCTCTGTTGGATCTAACAAGCTACAGTTTATTTTTATTACACACACACACATCTTCTCCTGACCTTACAACCCCCTCCAGCTTCTACCCCTATTCTCTGCTCTCCTTGACAGCAAAACTCCTAGAAAGATTTATCTCTACTCACTTTCTCCAGTTTCTCCCATCTCTTTGTCTTGAACCCACCCTAGTCAGGTTTGCAATCCTACCAACTCCACTAAAATAGCTCTTGTCAAGTCACTGCTGACCTTCACATTGCTGAGTCTAGTGGCGAAATATCAGGTTTCTCCCTCTTGGCATATCAGCAACATTTGACATCCATCCTTCCAAAACACTGTCCTCCCTTGGCTTCAGGACACCTTGCTCTCCTGGTTTCCCTTCTACCTCTCTGGCTGCTCCTTTTCAGATGGTGCTGATTCTTTCTCATCACCCCCAACCAGGTCTTCACAGTGGGGTGCCACAGCCCCTCTTCCTTCTGTCTACACTCAGACCCTTGGAAACCTCATCTAGTTTTAATGGCTTTAAATGCTATCTGTACACCCTGAATTTATACCTTTAGGCTAGGCCCTGTCCCCTGAGGTATTCTTAATTTAGTTTACAGTTTTGCTCCCCAATACCTCTCTCATTTCACCCCTTACTACTCTCCTCTTCTCACTTTGTTCCCTCACGTTGGCCTCCTTGCTGTTCCTCAGCAGGCCCATACTTGCCTCATTGCCTCTGTGTTAGTCGTGCCCTTTCCCTAGAATACTCTTCCCCAAGGTATCCTGATGACTTATTCCCTCACCATCTTCAGGTCTTTGCTTATACATCAGCTTCTTAGTAAGATCTTCCCTGACCACCCAATTTAAAATTTGAGAGAAGGAATGTTCCCTGCCACCAGTATTCCCTATCCCCCTTCCCTGCCTTAGTTTTTTCCATAGTGTTGGTCACCATGAGACATACTTATATTTTACTTATTTGTTTATCTGTCTACTCCCATAAAATATAAGCTGCATAAGAGTGGGAATTTTTCGCAGTTGGTTCACTTCTGTATAGAACCTTTGAAAGTGTCTGACATGTAGTAGGTGCTCATAAGTATTAGTTAATGATTTAATGAGTGAATGAATGAATAAATGTTCATACTACTATACCATGCTACCTCCCCAGAAATTATGCAAAATAATAATGTATATTTAAACATAGATTAATAATGTATCTTAACAGCGATGACAAGGAATAATAATATTATCAAACAATGTTGAGATTCCAGTGGACCTTGATTCTCCTTAAGAATATTACTTCTCACATCTGCATTCAACCCTCTGATACTTGGTTCTAGTTATTCTTGACTTGAATTTCCCCAGTTGTAGCTATTCCTGAAAAGAGTAAACAGTTCTGAGATACTTTCTTGTACTTATTTTCTCCCAGAAATAAACCATTTGGGGGGACTCCTATTTTTCCTTTGCCTCAGTTTCTCATAATGGGGATCTTTTGTTTGTTTGAAGCTAGTTTAAATGCCAAATAACAGTGAAAATGGCAGCCATATTAGTCATTTTTAAGATCCTTTAGAAAATTTGGCTTTCATTATCTTGCATATCTTGACTAATAACATTTATTTTTGGAAACCCTTATCCCTGCAATGATTATAGTTCTTTTTCCAAATAATCTGAGCTTAATACACAATAGATTTCTGGCACCAGAAAGACAAAAGACAAAAAGTGTCCGTAACTTAAATGAAAAAATTCCAGGAGGCTGTTTGAGCTTAGTGTCACGTGCCATGTCTGAACTACAGTTTACCTTCACTGCAGTGTGTTATCTGAAGATGGAAGAATTCAATGAGAATATTATCTAGCTGATGAGAACAGGCTTATATTTCAGTACTTTCCATGTATACTTTTAAATCATTTCTGTGCATATAAGTGGTGGTAATTTAGCAATGGCTAAAATTTAAGCTATGGGGCTTCCCTGGTGGCGCAGAGTCCACCTGCTGACGCAGGGGACACGGGTTCGTGCCCCAGTCCGGGAAGATCCCACATGCCGCGGAGCGGCTGGGCCCGTGAGCCATGGCCGCTGAGCCTGCGCATCCGGAGCCTGTGCTCCGCAACGGGAGAGGCCACAAGAGTGAGAGGCCCGCATAGCGCAAAAAAAAAAAAAAAAAAAAAATTTAAGCTATGGTTTAAATATGAAAAACTCCTGAATAACTGCAATGTAGAGAAATAAAATGATGAAAATCCTTGTAATGAAGAGTACCCAAAGTCATGATACCGTTGTTTTATGTCCAAAACAATTATTATTTCTTTGGCAAACCACACAAAAAAGTCCTGTTCAATCATACCATCTCAAAAGGGGATTTGAGTAAATAGACCAATTAATATGTGTCTTGTGGTTGTTAAATTATATGTATTTAACACTTTTATCTAAATTAGTGCTGTTTGCTGTAAATATTCATTCCAACAAAAGTAAGGCCAAATAAGATTGTAATTTTCTTATAAACGACTGAGCTCTTTTCACACCCTTTGTAGCCTTAATATATATAGACTCCAAGTATATTGACTATAATAAAGACAAAAAGGGTATTTATATTAGGCTAATCAATTTGAATTTTGGAAAAATCAATCAACACACCAATTAAATGTATATTCAGCATCTACTGTGCACAAGGGACGGTGAATCAAGTACTTCATTAAAGTGTAAGACACGTTGCTACAGACATTTTTCTGAATTCATATCACATTACTTTTAGTTTCAGGTATGACTGTTTAATACAGAAAAATATTATTTTTTTCTTTTGTCTCATTTTTATAATGCTTTGAGGTTGTTATTATTTACTTGTTTTCTGGTATGAGGAACCTTAACAGACTTTCTTTTTCAATCTTGTGATTTCATCTGCTTAGAAAATATCAGGAATCATAATTTAAGCATAATTTTATTTAAAAAAATTTTTTGACTATGTCCTTATCTCTCTCTCCACTTCACCTTAGTGAATGGTGAGCAGAAGAGGTGTTCACTAGAAATAAGAGTTCACAGTCTGCTATGCACTAAACTTCCCAACCTATTAGAGAGAGAAAGGCATAGTCAGCCCGTGAAATGAATTTTCAAATGCTGTTAATATAACATAAAGAAACAGAAAGATAACTTCAAAGAAGTCACACGTGAGAAGCACCTCACAAGAATACAGAAGTATGAGCCCAGGAAGACTAATGCGGGGCATGAGAGGTCACTGTAGGCCAGCGCTCCAGAGAGGGCTGCACGTAACATGTTAGTAGGACTGAAGGGGGCCCATGTGGGAGGTACAGAGGAGCACAGGCAAAACATTATAAGTGTTCAGGGCATTCAGGGATGGGGTCAGGGTACACTGGCATAATACAAAAGTCAGCTATTTGAAGGGTTGCAGTAGTAGTAGCCTGAAAATTTGGTTTCAGGGAAGAATATATCTAGAATGCCAAACTAAGTACTTTAGATATTAGGGTATAGAGAGTTAAAAGCTACTGCAAGCTTTTGAGCAATAATACAGGGCAAGCAGTATGCTCATATAACTCCTGTGGACACTGTGCACAGGTGGGTTGCCTGTCGGGATGCAAGCAGTAGAAGCAAAGAGATCCTATAGAAGCTGGGCTGTCCAGTTAGGAAGCGACAGGGGCCTGGAGCAGGGAGTAAAAGTGGGAGTGGGAAAGAAATACCCAGACCAAGAGCGATTAAGGAAGGAAAATTGATGAGGCTCAGTTGAGTGATTCAAGATATTCAGAATTAGGAAGCCTGTAGAAGGGTTAAACATGTAGAGTGGAAGTGATGTATTTTAAACTTTCAAAATTTGATTTTAATTTAGTTGAGATTTTCTTGGTTCTTAGTATGAAGAGTACTTCTGGATATTGTGCTGCACATTTTTAGTATTATTATGTTATGAGACTATGATTCTTATTTAAATCTTCTATTTTGGTAGGCGGTTAACCCAGTTAGATTCAGAACACATGTCCTAGTCCACTTCTATGGGCTGTGATTCAAATGCCAATTTCATTTTCAATGCCTTTGCAATACTCATCTAGTCTGTCCCACTTGTGTGCTACCCAGAGGGGCATTTGGAACCCGGGAGGTACTTCATAAACCATAGTTTAGTCTCAAAGTTCTTGCTCTGTTGGTTGTCATTGGGTTTACACATGGGTATACTAGGGATGTGCCAAAGCCCCTCCTTCCCCAGCTGCCTCCTCTTTGTAATCCTGCCCCTGTTCTCTAGGGGTGGGGTGCCACCTCTTTGCTCTTCTTTGCTTCAGGCAGG